GTATGTGAAGAAGTGGAAAAAACACCCTTAAACCAAGCCCTATTGACACATCAAGATCAACCAGATGTCCAGTTTTAGACTCATGCTGATCCTTTTTGTACACCCAACACATCAAACCACAACTCTGTAGTGAAGTCACTAGTTATAAATTATTCAGACCACAGCAGGTTTTATTTTTGACTCACACACTGAGCTGCTAGAGCCTCAAACTGCCAAGGGCCTCTAAAAGAAGTTGAACAAGGAAGTTTTTACAGAATACTAGTATCTGTACTAATATCTTAATTTCTTTGCCTTCAAATGTTAAACCATCAAGCTATTATTTTGGCTGAAAACTGATGATAGACCTCAAAGCTTATCTTTTGTTAATAAAAGATTTATTACTGATTCTCATTACAAATTTCATTTTTAAATGTACATTAAAGTCACAATATTTACAAAGATGCAGTTCTTTGGGAGCAACATTTACCATTGATACTCTTTCTATGGCATTTACAGTGAACCGAGACTGTAACGTATATTCACTGGAGGCAAGTTGTAGAGAACCCAAGTGCAGTTTATTTAGAAACATAAGATCAAACAGAAAACGAAAGTGTGGCGTGGCATGGCATGAACTGAGAACAAAAAATAAACATGAAGCTTATCCAAACAGTGGTTACAGGGAAACAAACTTGACAAAGACACATGGCAAACATGAGGGCTTAAATATACAAGATTAATGACTAGACAAGGGACACTTGTGAACAATGAACCAATGACAACGACACGTCAGACAACATGGCTGGATCACATGACTAACAGGGGATCACATGACAAAGACATGACACATGACTGAAACAAAATCAAAACAAGACGTGACAGATTTTTAACAGGAACATGAAACATAACCAAATCAAGACAATATGTTACATTATCAAACATGAGGGCTTAAATACACACAAGAATGTCAAAAGGCTTCAAGACAGATCATTGAACCAATGGCAACATGACACATCTGACAAGGGAACACATGGCAGGATCACATGACAAAGACATGAAACATAACCGACATGAAACAAAACCAAAACAAGACAGATTTTTAACAGGAACATGAAACATAACCAAATCAAGACAAGATGTTACAGAGACACTCTTGAGAAACTTTTTTTTTTTTTTTTAAGCACATTTTCTCATGGACTGTTCTAGTTCTGCTCTCTCACACATTAACAGGCAAACAAGCAGAATATGTACATATGTGTTTGTCTTCAGCTGCCTGTCAGACAGTTTGTACTTTTGTACAGTTTGTACCACATGACTGCTGTATCATCTGACCTCTGCAGATTCATATAGGCATTGATAGTGTTGCCATATAATGCACAATTCCCAGTCCGAGGACGTGAACAGCTCTGAATGGGACGTAATTACGCGCAGAACAGTATTTTAAGTTCAGTGAAAACATTTTACAATGTTTGATAACCTACTGTTTTTATTAATGCTTTACACAAATTTCACGTTTTTTTTTTATTATTATTACTATTGACTGTTGTCTTGTTTTATTGTTTAATATTATTTGTTATTATCTATAGAATAGACTGCTTTTAATTGGTACAGCCCTTTGGTCTACTTTGAAGTGGAAAGGGCTCTATAAATAAACTAGACTTGAGACTTGATTTCAATTCATAAACTTGCGATACAATTCCAAGCTTGATTCAATATAGATTAATTTGGATAAATATAATACAGTAGCTACATGTTCATTTTTCAATCTATCAACTAGTGCTGTAAACATACAGGGAGCCCTGTCAGCTGGTATTACTATTAAAGGTTAAAATGAACCACTTATTTAATGTTATCTTAGACATGTGAATGTGCTTTGTGTGCACAAACGTTATTGCCTAAACATCTTCGGTGATAGTGGTGCAGGAGGGGGTCATCAGCTTGACCTTGAACGGTGTGGAGGAAATGTGATTGGTTGAGAATGGTCTAATCAAGAGGTGGCAGGTCTCCATTGGTTTAATTAAAACTCATGCCTTGGCAATATGTGTGGTTGACTTCATGCGGCTCTGCACTACCGAATGGTGTATGTTACATACCTCTCCAGTCTAAGGGTCAGGGAAGGAGTATTTCGGAGTGTTTGTGACAATTAATATGAACAGACAAGCAAGAGCTCTAGTCAAAAGTGACATTTATTTGGCAGATTCAAAGTACATAGACGGAAGTATAAAAGGCTTCAGGAGGGGAGAAGGCCAAAATAATAAACAGAAAGTCCTGAACTTGAGAGGAACTTTTTATAACCTTTCAAAATAAAATTCAAAATGGACAACAAAATTCATACCTTACTCCTTCTCTAACCAAACACTGTAGAAAAACATGGACATAAACAAAAATGGTCTTGCCCTTTTTAGGGTTAATTTGGCGTGATATTTACTTGGGCAGTGTGAGAGTGTGAGATAGAGCCTGAAAGCGTGTGTGTCACACCAAATGCGTGGGAGTTGGCAGCTCTGAGTTGCGAGGTGTTGCAAATATGGCCGCAGAGTGATCAGAGGGATTTTCCTTGAAATGGACTTTGACCACTTTCTGAAAAACCATTTGCTCAGTGCTAGCGTTGTTAGCTTTTAAATAATGTAGATGTATTTAGCAACGAGGACAGGATCCCTTGACAGTTCTTCAGTATTCATGTGTCCAGTATTTTCTGTTGGCTATTTAAAGTCAGAACCAGCGATGCTTGATTCATGAATGAATCACTTATTTGCATTGGTACTTTTACCAATTAACAATTGGGTTAACAATAAAGGGTCAAAGTTTTTCCGGTTAACAAGGTCTGTTTGCCCTAGATGTTAGATGTTGTAACTACACTATTATGTGGGCCAAAGCATCTTTATACATTGACAGTCATTTATACAGACACAGATTTAAAACATTTTAAAAAGAGACTCCGATGGAGTTGTAATATAGAGTGATCTGTCATTTTTTGAGCCAAACTTATGTAACAACAGATCACCGCCTTAAAACTACTACTTTGAAAATGTGTAATGATCCACATGTGTTATGATGATACACATAAAAATATGTTAAGTTTGCATTACAGTAGAAATGTATAGTAGCTGCATTGCAACTTATAAAAGAAATAAAAAACTAACCATTGAACATTTATTTGATAATATAAACATTACAACAGTGAATCACACATTGTATTTATTCTTAAAATGACTCTCAGATATTGACAGTCAAAACCAGGAAATGATGTTTATAAAAAAAGGTGCGATATCAAGAAAATATGTTATTAGAAATGACCTCATCTTCTTGTGCTAGAGCTGAAAATAACTACTGATTCTAGGATCACTTCATTTAGTATTTTAAGGTCACTGTTTTCATGCAACACGTCCGTTTTCTCATGCAGTGAAAACATCGTGGAGCAAAGAGGACACTGACTGACAAGACAGAGTAGGTTACTTTTTATATATGAAACAAAGTCTCAGCTTTCATAGAATATGATATATTAATATTTTGTTGTAATATCGTTGTGGTATTTTTTGTTGAACATCAGCATTTATTAGCTCAGTATTTCGTGGTAAAGCTGTTCTAAGTAAAGTAGAAGTCAAACTGTGAACATCGTATCTGAAGGAATGGAAAAACACCTTTAAACCACACGCTATAGCACATCAAAACACATACACACACAAACTGACATTAACCACAGACGTCCAGTTATAGACGTATCCTTGTGCAGAACTTGTTTGTCTACCCAACAGATCAAACCACAACTCTGTACAGATAGGAATAAATCAGACCACTGCAGGTTTTAGTTGTGGCACACAAACTGAGCTACTAGAGCCTCAAACTGACAGGGGCCCCTAAAAAGAAGGACATTTTTTTCAGAACAACAGTATTACAGTACTCATATTTTTCTTAATTTCTTTGCTTTCAAATGTTAAACCAGCTTTTATTTAGGCAGAAAACCACTGGGAGACCTTATAGCTTCTCTTTTGTTGACAAATGATTTATAACTGATTCTCATTACTTTTTTTTAATAAGATTTGGTGTGTGTTACATTTTTAAATGTACATTATCAAAGTCACAACACTTACAGAGATGCAGTTCTTTTGAAACATTTACCGTTGATACTGTTTCTACAGCATTTCAGCCTGTTTTCACGTAAATGCGTCTCTATAACACGCATCGTGTTTTACCGTGCAATTTATATGCGAAAATGAGTTTTTACGTGCATATGATACGCAGTTTTCACGTGCATTTGATACGCAGTTCATTTGCGTGTAATACACACGCACCCCACACCACTAATTCTACCCAAACGTTAACGTATAATACACACGCACCCCACACCACTACTAAACCTACCCTAACCAACCCATGCGTATCCTATGCACGTAAAAACTAATTTTCGCGTATAAATTGCACGATAAACACTGCGTGCTATAGAGACGCATTTAGTGTGATCGGGTTGGGCATTTACTGTGAACTGAGACACTCTTGAGACGCTGAAAATAATGGATCCTGAGCTGCTCGTGTGTAAATGAACACAGTGCCGTGCTTCACTCTGAGAAACACATCAGACTGTATATTTATAATTACATTGCAGACACTAAGCCATATTGCATAATCACAACCATGCATTGCTAGAATTCATAAAAACTTTACCAGCTGAGTAACATTGTTTCATATTCTAGCCAAAGTAAATTTTAAACCATGTTCACAAGTCCTGGTATTACAAACCCCCAGAAAGGTCCTGCTGTATGTCTGCTGGGATTTTCTGATAATACTCAGGGCACAACTAGAGCAAAACTGAAATATATCTTTCAGAATTAAGGCCTTGTTTATTCTAAGCACGTGCTTGTCTGGCACATTTAAATGCTCGAGCTCGTTACAGCAGGATGGATTCTGATTCATCGTTCATCAGCTGGATAAAATCGTTCTGTGATTCCAACAATATCGTTCCTCTGTGCCATTATTGTTACAGCTGTGGTGTGAACTCTGCTATTATGTAATATTGAGAACGATTTTCAGAACTTTATCTTTATCGTTATCTTTATAGTTATCATCCTTGGTGTGAACGGGCCTTTATTGCTAATTTCTGTTGCTACATGTGGTGATTCTCACAAACCTAAAACTCAACCACAGACTCAGGAACTGCAGGGTGTAGCCGAAGGTTCCTGTAAAGCGATCACAACGCTGGATCTGGTACAGTAAACTGAAGTTTGATCATCTCCTCACGGTGATACCCGCATACACCACGTCATTCTCCTCTTTTATGTTCTGCATAAAAAACACAGTACACAGATTTCATTAAAAAGTCTTGGCTTGATGTCTATCTCTCGCCGGGAGAGGCATTGGCGTTGAAGGCTCACACTCTGCTGACCGAACCGCTGCACGAGACGTCACGTTTGAAGAGGAGAGCGGCAGAGCGTTCGAACGGCTGCGGGACAGGCCAGGGCTGCTCTGCACACAATGGCTGTGTTGCATGCTTATCCGGCCGATCTGTTGACAGACCTGGACTGGGGTCATGGACTCATAACTGAACTGTGCCGCACTACAGACCTTGCTCTCCGTGCCACTAAACAAACTGCTTCCGCGATCGGAATCTCTGAACCTGGCAGACATCGGGGGGAAAGAGAGAAACTTTAACCACGATGCACCGGTTTCAGCACTTTTTGGCACATCTGTTGAGGCAGTGGTCGGAAAGTTCAGAGAGGCGAAGCCACGAAGGTGCGGTATGCGGCCTTTAAGACCTATATACCTTGCTGGTTCAAGCCTCTAGGGGGCTTTGGCCTGTCTTAGTATGGGGAACAAAGACAGGGCCAAATTTTGCCTTTTAATGTTTCTGATGCACAACAGAAATTATCAGTTAAGGTGTGGTGGTGGTCACATTACATTTTCATTCCATTGACTTAAATGTGGGACATATGAATCGCAAGCACATGTGAAATTTGCTGCATTTCAATGTTCATGTTTGGTGAATTTGTATCACATAAACACTTGATATTTCACAGCATGACTGCTTAGCTAATTCAAATGTGAAGTTTACTTTGGTATGCTTCTGTCACAGGTGACAATGAAATTTCCACACATGGCCGATGACTCACACTGATAGAATACACAAGTAGAAGGGTTCACGACCGCATGCATTATTTTAAAAATAGCTCTTGGATTGACAATTTCTTTCGATGAGGTCAGCAAAGTATTTAGTCTTCACTGATCTCATAGTTGGAAAATAGAAAGCTTGTTCTTTAATAGTTTGTAGGAGACCTGTAGTTAGCTTTCTTTTATATCCTTATTGCTTGCCTACAAGCCTAAGCCTCCGTGTCATTAATGTTATTGAATATGAGTCAGTCTTGTGTTTCTCACAATAAATGCAAACATTTTTTTTTTCGAATAATGTTCAGAAATTACATTTCAGCCATGAATGCACATATCTAAATCTGACTCACTGCTGAAATAATAAAGAGATGCTTAAGATAAATTAGAAATAATTGAACTTACCAATTTATATGCTTTTCTTTTGCAGAATGTTGGATCGGCATAAATGATCTCTTCATCACGAGTCTCAACTGTTTCAACAATAATAATAGATACATTAAATCAACTAAATAAAATCCCTAGCAGAGCATGCATTTATCAGGTATAGTTAGAAAATACATTTTGCAGAGACATTTGCAGATATTTTATTAATCAAAACCAGTGGAGTGTTTAAAGCAATTTGCATTTTTTTTCTGTGAAACAAATATTAGTCATCATTGAAGCTCAACAAGTAAAACAACATTCATAGAAGAGTTAATTTGAAAACCAGCTGAGGACTGCATCTTTACATGCAATAAAGTGTGGAAATGTTTCATTTATTATTGAACTGATGCAGATTCAAATTTGTTTTTTTGATTTTCAATGTGTTTTAGTTTGAGAAATGCAGAACTTGCTTTTTGTGTGACTGAGATGAGTAAAGGATGTAAGGTGCAAACGGTTATGAGAATAACTGATTAAATGATAACTGACCATATGCACGGAAAAACTTCCACAATAATATAAGCCGGCTGGAAAACTTCCGGTGAAATGTCACTTGTTGGTAAGTTGGTATCTTTGATCTACCTCGTGTCCTGAGGTACCTTTAACAGCATCAATAGTGTAATTACTTACTTTATCATCAGAATATAGTCACTTACATAGTCAGGCCTTAATTTAGGTATTCAAACACAAGCGCCATTAAAAGACGCCTCCCTCAGTGTTCATTAGTTTTTGCATTTTTGTGTGGAAAAAAGCATTAACACACTGTAAATGAAAGATTAAAGGAGTTTTCACAAGTGTGCTGAAATCAGTGAGCTTGCACTTCACTGACTGACAGCTTCTGGGATTCGGTGCTCGCTCTCTGTGTAATTAATTCACAAGAAAAGTTACTGTTTTTCATGAGACTTTGTGAGTACTTCATACTTCATATTGACAATTTATTTTTAAACCTAGTGATTTGTTAGGTTTAATGTTTAATATGTATTTAAAAGTGAAATGTATGAAAAGATATTATAGGAAATTGCTAATATGAGCGAATAAATGCTCCTATTCCCCTTCTACTGGTTATAGTGGTAATTAATGTATTTTTTTATTTTTAAATAAAAGTGTTTTCTATCAAATGTTGGATTTCTACATCTTGAAACGTTCTGTTTCACAAATGGAGACAATCTCGGAAGGATGAACAAATAATATTTTGGTCATCGCATTAAAAATAACATTTGAAGTGCTGGAAAAATGTTGTGTGACTGTACGTGTCCAATCACAGACACTTTGTTTCTTGTTCCATTGGCTTCAAGTCTTTATTGCAATCAATAAAACTGGTTTATTTGCAAATTAGGTGAGCGTGATAACTGCATTAAAATATAAATACAACATTAAAAATTCAACCATTAATGGTTTTGTGTCGAGAATGACAGCTAACAGAATTCACCGTAAATGCCCAAGCTGGCTTATCGAAAACCAGGAAGTAACCGTGTGGTTATATATAAGTATAGTTTTTGGTGTAACACTTGCCAAAAGAGATAGATAATTCTTACCTTCTCCGTCAATTTTTCTGAGTCGCCTGCAGATGCAGAATATCACGACTACAGCAACAATCATCAGAGATCCAGCAGATATCAACACTATCAGAGACACTGGAGAGTGTGAAGAAGAGTGTGTGTCCGGTGCTGTAATGATAAAGAAAGAAGTGAACGCATCCGTGTGATCTACAACAGAAGACAGAGATCAGGTCAGTAAACACACACACATATATCATCAGTGCTGCTGTACCTGCACATGTGTGACAGAGTGTGTTGATGTCCAGATGTGTGGTCTGGTTGCTGATGGGATTGTTCAGCACACAGCTGTAGGTGTTTTTATCCTGATATTCCACCTCCAGAGGTAGAGAGAGACTGATGCTGAGATCACACACACTGATGCTGGACAATACACTCATTCCTGCGTACCAGGAGAGAGTCGCATCACTCACATTACACACTGATGAACACACCAATGAACAATTTGAAGAACATTGTGAAGAGTTACTGATGATGACAGGAACAGGCAGACGAGCTGAGAAACATGAGAGAAAAAAACAAATCGGAATAAATCAAATCAATCTATGTTTCATTCAATGTCTTTAGTGTGATCTCAAATTTAAAAATTTTAGTATGTAAAAAATAAAATAAGAATATTTAAAGGACAGGACAAATGATCTCTACTCACCATAGACAGAAACACTGAATGTTTTTGATGATCGTTTCGCTCCCCTTATCTCTAGTTGATAATCTCCAGTATGTTCAGTTGTGGTGTGTGTGATGGTCAGAGATCCAGTTTGATCGTCCAGCTTCAGTCTGTCTCTAAATCTCCTATCAGGAACATCATCATATGTGGAGAAGATTCCAGCAGTTTTACTGATCTGAGCTATCAGAGAGTTTTCAGCTCCATATTTCCACATTATCTCTTCATCTTCATGTATTTCAGTAACATCAGTGTTTAGAGAAACAGAATCTCCATCCATCACTGACACTGAATCACCAAACACACCTGGAGAATATACAGATGTTACACAGATTCAACTTATTGTTTATAAAGCCTGAAATCAGCTGTAGTTTGTAACCTTTAAAAGTGTTTTGAAGAACAGCTGCAGACAAAATTTAAAAATAAAATTGAAGGTCATATATATATCATGTTTGTGAACCAATTATTTTTTCCATGGTGTTTTAATCTGCTTGTAGAGTAAAATTTATGTGTGAAGTTGTACTTTCACGCTGTAATTAACTTATTAATAAGTTAATTACAGCGTGATTTATAAGTTAATTCTACTGCTCACTTTCAATAAAAAAATGTATACAAGAAATCAAGCTCACTGAATCTCACTCATGTTTCCCTGCTTTTCGACCAAATATTTTACATTAATTTTGTAGTCGTTTTCTGAGCCTCCTTTACAATCAATTTAGAAATTTCCATTACTTTTCAATGACTTCTATATTATCTATATGTCCATGTATTTTCAAGGTCTGGGACTAACAATTAAAAAATCCCCTGATTTCTGTTGGTTCAGCCCAATGGAGAACACAAACAGTGATCTGAATCCAATGTAGACTGGACAATAATGTCTCATAAAAATAGGGTAATTTGAACAGTAGCAGAAGCTTATTGCTCTTAAACGGAATAAAATTAAGCTGTAAAATGCTTTTATAACTTACCATTCAGATGCCAACAGCACAAAACCAACACATGTAACATTTTCTTTAAGTGCTGGAACTAATAAGACTATCCACCAAAAACACTCAAACTATGAATCTGTGTGGATCCTCCCCCAACAGAGTTCGCCCCTCCTATAGTTAACACACACACTCTCTGAACATGGTTTATAATGTCCAATATATGGTTTTATAATATTTAAAACTGCTTGAAGACTTTAACCTAATGGCAGAAAAGATACATTCCTCATTTTTACAATGTAACGTTGATGTTTTGCAAGGTAACTGTCTGGCTCTGTTAAATACATGAAAGTATAACAATATAATTTGGTATAAAATAAATAAAATTAATTGTTGTAATAATTCGATTATTAATTATTGTGCTTGGCCAATTAAAGTTGAAACTGTCTACCATCACACATTATCAGTAAGTATACACTATGACACACGCAATTCTGCTTCCGAGTCAAACTGAAACCTTTGATTTCTTCAGAAATGTGGTTTGGTGTGTTGAGTGAACAAACAGCGTGTGGTTTGTAAATGAAGGGCTTTTTCCCTATCCTGCTACACTCTTAAATATAAAGGTTTCAAAAGGTGGTTTTCACAGTGATACAACATTTGGGGTTCCTAAAGAACCGTTTAGTGAACACTTCTAGAAAGAACCATGTTTTTCTTGTGAAGAAAACGTGAATATTCTAAATAACTTTTTCACTATAAAGAACATTTTGTCCAATGAAAAGGTTCCATGAATGTTAAAGGTTCTTCATTTAAATGGTGTGTGTGTTATTTATTTATTATTACTTCATCAGAATACAAATATGTATAAATAGCTTACAATGAAGAAATATGATCATTGTAGCCAGCTTGTGCTGTCATAAAATTTACAATAAAGATTAAAAAATATATAGGCATATAAGAAAATTGTAACCTGTGATCTCTCTTCTCCTATTTTTTTTTCTTATTATTTTTCTCCTCACTTTCCTTAGAAATTAGATTCAAGTGCCGTTAGGACAGACTGTTTATTTTGTTCGTTTGCACCACATGACATAAAAGAGTTATATCAGGAAATCGTCCGTGTTGTCCTGGGAATAGGCTAACTGACATAGGCCTAAATGATAAATACAAATGTATAAAACACCCGTAGCAATGTGTATAGGCTATGTATTTAATCTCCTAAACCAAACAAATTATGTTAATTAATTACTATAGTTCAAGCGAATGCAGATATTTTCTCTCTAACGAAGAAACTAACTAACTAACTAACGCTTTTAGTTGAATAAGCAATACAATAGCCTATAGCCTACTACTGAATAATACTTAGCCTATACAAAATATGTTTTCCAAACTTTACAGAGTAACGCCGTTTTGTATGTAGGCTATAACAACGTTTTGTTTACGCATGTTATGTTTTTGTTTGTTTGAAATAGGCGTAACGAATCTTATCGGCGCTAGGTAGGAAGGACAGTTTCACTTTTAACTAAGCCACACGCGGAAGAGCGAGACGCTTTTATTTCACGGAATCTTCAGTCATTTTTCTGATTGAAAACTGTGAAAATGGAGGTTCTCTTTATTGTCCTCTCAGTTGGTTCATTTTCACTGTACCAAGGTAAGACTTTATTATTTTACTCTACAAGGTAATAGCCTATTTGTTAGAGTCTCTTCCGGTCGATAAAAACGAACAAAGACTGTGACGCAGTTACATTATGCCAGCTCTAATAGCTTTACACTCAGGGGAAATTAATACTATTACATTTATTTCGCTGGCATTGTGTGTTGTGCTCGTGTGTGGTACAATCTATCTGTAGGTCGAATTAAAAACGAACGACACTCGTGACGCAGTTTCATTTTGTACCAGGTCTATCACTTTACACTCGAAATAAATTATTTCTAAAATTGTCTATTGCTGTTTTAACTCGAAAATGAATTGAAATGTGTTTGTGATTCTATGAAGTGAATACGTATGTGTGGTTTGCGACCCGTTTCTGAGGGAGCGGAGACACAAACAAGAGCAGTGTCAGGGCGTGCCGCGTGAATGACAAAATATAGGCCTATGAACACTTATTATGGCAAAAGTATTTAAAAAGTGTTTCCTTAAAATGTTTGGGTCAAATGACTTGTTATAAAAAATACAATACCTTCGGTTTCTGATATATCTAGTTCCAGTGAGCGCTGCATGCTTGAATATTCACGAGTTCTGGTCGTGTCCTTGAGACACACAAACAAACTGAAAATAGAAGTGCACTCCTCAAATTGCAACTTGGTTAATTGATTATTTAATAAATGTATTAAAGTTTAAGTGTTAATCATAAACTTCAACTGTTCACATTTTCAAAACCGTTTGTGTAATGTGATAAATCGACCTTGAAACAGACAGTGACTTTGCATGATTGGAAACATCACAAAAGCAAAACAGATAAATTTGTGATTACATAAAATATACAACAATGACATATACAACATTTTTTATTATTACCAATCATCCCAATTAAAAAGAAAATCTTGAGGTACAGCTGCTTATATAGCCTATGTCCAAGAATTGTCATCAGAAGCATTCAACAGTTTATGCATTTGTATTCTAAAATCAATTATGCATTGCAATGTTTTTTTTATAATAACAGCAAGATTAAGAATATTTTCTTTAGTGTGTAGCTTATGTAGTTAATTGTGCATTTTCTATTGTGACTTCAAGGGTTATGATATAATATGAGACAAAAAGGAAAATATTTCTAGTTTGGTGTTGCTGAGGGGTAGCAAGAAATTAAGTATGACACACTCATCACAACAGGGTAGCTTACATGTGTTTTATTAGGCCACAGATAGGCTTGTGGGGGTTTATTTCAGTCATTGTTTTTGACACTACTGCAACTACATGCTTCATGCTGGTATGATCCATGATCTTACGGATGCTACATAGTTTTCATTCGGTAATACAGTAGCGTATATGTGGTTAAATAAAATGCATGTAAGCTACCCTGTTGTGATTATTCTGTGTCATCCTTAATTTCTTGCTCATTTGTCTGGCATGTGTGAACACAATGCATTGCTGAAAAGGGCTGGGCAAAGTTCTATAAAGCCTGGTTAATAACATCATGACAAAGCTGATTGGCTGATGGCATTTGAAAAATAGACAGTCTAAAACTGAGCTGTGATCAGTGGCACCAGACGATAAGTCCATTTTATGGTTATAAAAGTCTCCAACAAGAATCAATCAGTGTTAAATTAATGTAGGCTATATAGTGAAATATTTCAAATGTAAATGTTGTGTGTGTTTATTTATTTATTAGTATTTCATCAGACACAAATATTTATAAATGGATATCAATGAATAAGGATGATCATTGCAGCCAGCTTTGTGCTGTCATAAATTTTACAAACAAGATAAAAAAAAAACAAATATATATAATTGTAACCTGTGATCTATCTTCTCACTGGACTGCTCTTTGATTCTCATGATTTTTCTTATCTAAACTAAACTTTCCATAGAAATTGGATTAAAGGGCTGTTAGTCCAGACTGTTTCTTTTTTTTTTTCCTGCAGGGTATAATATATATTATAAATTATATTGTGTCTGCACCTCTGCACCACATGACATAAAGCAGTTAGATCAAGAATACATTCAAAATGTGTTGTGCTGGGAACCACTGACATAAATGATAAATACAAATGTAGTATAAACACACACTTTGTAGCTGTGTATAATTTCCACAAAAATAAATAAATAAATAAATAAATATAGGCTATAATAGGCCTAATTACTAGTTCAAGCCAATGCAGAATTTTTTTCTCGAAAAAACAAAACAAACGCCTTTTTAGATGAATAAGTTAAATAAGCAATAAAATACACTAATGCTATAATAATATTTAGCATACACAATATGTTTTACAAACTGAACAGAGTAACGCCGTTTTGTATGTTTAACAACGTTTTTGTCTAAGCATGTTATGTTTTTGTTTGTTTGCAATACGTAACGAATCTTAACGACAGATAGGAAGGACCGACATTAGTTTCACTTTTAAAGCCACACGCGGAAGAGCGAGATATTTCACGGAATCTTCGGTAATTTTTCTGATTGAAAACTGTGAAAATGGAGGTTCTCTTTATTGTCCTCTCAGTTGGTTCATTTTCACTGTACCAAGGTAAGACTTTATTATTTTACTCTACAAGGTAATAGCCTATTTGTTAGAGTCTCTTCCGGTCGATAAAAACGAACAAAGACCGTGACGCAGTTACATTATGCCAGCTCTAATACCTTTACACTCGACGGAAATTAATTAGGCTATATTACATTTATTTCGCTGGCATTGTGTGTTGTGCTCGTGTGTGGTACAATCTATCTGTAGGTCGACTTAAAAACGAACGACACTTCGTGACGCAGTTTCATTTTGTACCAGGTCTAATCACACTCGAAAGAAATTATATCTAAAATTGTCTATTGCTGTTTTAACTCGAAAACGAATTGAAATGAAATGTGCTTGTGATTCTATGAAGTGAATACGTATAGTTCTGGTTTGTGACCTGTTTCTGAGGGAGCGGAGACACAAACAAGAGCAGTGTCAGGGCGTGCCGCGTGAATGACAAAACAGGCTACTGTAGGGAGAGCGGGGCACAACCGAATACCTTTTGACTTTCTCAGTTTGTGTAAATTCACTTGGGGTTCAGAGTATTTATTTTTCCCACGTCAAGTATACAATTATATGGTTTTGTTTCATTAATGCAATATATACTTTTTTCTTGATATACCCTACTCGGAAAGAATGAAAGTGAAATGTGACAGCATGCCCCATAGGTGGTGACATGTGAGGGGCACATTGTAACATGCCAGCTTAAAATGTTATCTGAGCTAATAAAAAAAAAAAGATACAAGACAAACTAAAATATGTTGGTAATAAAATACAATTATTAAAATTTTCATAAAAAATAATGGAATTTTTAAATAATTAAAAATAAAGTAATTTTCGAGTTTGACAACACTGCAAAAACGGCTATACAGCATCGTTCAAAACACAATAATAATTAATAATTTATGAAAATTGACAGTCTTTATTCGCCTTTTTCTCATGGTTTCTCACTAGAATTCATAAAAGTAGTAGAATAGAATAACAAAGTTCTAATAGTGTGACAACATGCCCCAACTGCGCTAAAGGGATTTAAATCCTGCTAGTGTCTTCTGCTGGTTAGATCAGCATTAAAGAACTATCTGAACTGTTAACTGATAAATGATTCAACTAATATCAGATTTGTCTAATTTTAAATAAGCACAAAAAACAGAGATGTAAAATAACTTAAGAAATGTACTTTTGCTATTGTTAAATAAATGTTCCGTGATATCTTCTATAGTTTTTCTCTGGCAAATAGTAAATGCACTTCATCATTGAGAAATGAGTTTTTTCATGCTGGGATGTGTGGAAACTTATAAACCATATGTTACAAATAGCCCTGTGTTAGGTTTTGCCCCACTCACCCCTATTTGTTATGGCAAATATATATATAAAAACAAGGTTTTCCTTAAAATGCTTAGGTCAAGTGACTTGGTATAAAAACATAATCTAACATGGCATCATATCCTGATGATTTTTTTTCTCTCTTTTTTTTTGTGTAAACTGCAGGGGCGGAACTAGAACATTATTTTTAGGATTGCAAAGGTGTAGCATGAGGACTTTTAGGGTGATGTTACAATAAATTCGGTTTCTGATATATCTGGTTACAGTGGGTGCTGCATGCTTGAATATTCACAAGTTTTCCCTGTTGTGGTCGTGATGCAAACAAACTGAACATATTAGTGCACTCCTCAATTTGCAGCTTGTTTAATGGATTATTTCAAAAAGGTAATAGAGTTTCAGTATTAATCAAACTGCAACTATTCACATTTTCAAAACCATTTATCTAATGTGAAAAATCAACATATAAATATAATTTAAATAGCATATAAATAGCGAAAGCAAGGATACAGCGGAGCAAGTATGAGCTTATAACCTAATGGTGCTAGTCTAGGATTCAATTTGACTCTTTCTTTTGACATTTCTGAGGCTTTAAAATTCATTTGAATAATTTGTGACGACAACAATGACTGAAATAAACTGTTTATTGTCTCATATTAAACTGGATATTATGTAGCATTAAAGCCACAAAGCAACATCAAAATCTTTCCAAATATCACAGGTTGGAAATCATGGTTTATATATACTGTAGGTCTAAACCTGAATGACTTCTGCGGAATACAAAAGATATTCTGAAGAACATGCCACACAATATTGGTTCCTAATGAAAAAAAAAAAAAAAAAACTTTTTCTCACATATAATCTAAAAAATATATTTGTTTATGTTCCACAGAAGAAAGTCATACAGATTTGAAACTAAAACATGTTGTCTGTTCTTTGACCATATGTTGCACTGTGGACAGAGGTGAAAAGCATTTAGAAAAACCTTCATGTTATGATAATTATGTGTGAAAGCATCTTAAACTTTAATGATCCAAAGTGGTGTGCTAATCATGTTTAATATTCTCCAATCTTATTCTGAGGTGTTTTTCTCATTTTACAAGTACTTCAACATTGTAGGGCAGGGATTGGCAAAAACAATTTTGTCAGCCAAACTCAGATGATCTAAAATATTTACTTTATGTCTTCTGAGATTTTAAGTTAATATTTCAATTTAACAAAACATGCATGTTTGCAATGGTAATATAAAAAGTAAAGAGGCAGATGCTCCATGAATGTAACTCAAATTAAAAAGACAAGGAAAGTTTCTAAACATTTGTGGAATTAAGGTAGACATGAGTGTCTGAGATAAGTTTATTAAAACAGGGATTTGGCAAATGAGAACAGCCTGCATGTATGTCCAGATCTCACACTGGCAGAGCTACCAATGTCCGCAGCTCTCACATCCAATCTGAAACAGACAGTGACTTTGCGCAATAAAGAATATAATGTGGAAACATCACAAAAGCAAAACAGATAAATTAGTGATGACATATACACAATTTCCTATCTTCCCAATTAAAAAGAAAATCTTGAGGTAGTTGCTTACGTATGTCCAAGAAGTGTCATCAGATTCAGAAGCATTCAAAAGTTTATGAATTGGTGTATTCTATAATCAATTATATATTGCAATGTTTATTATAATGTTATTATAATGTATTATAATATTATATATTATTATTCTTTAGCATGTAGTTTATGTAGTTAATTGTAGTTTCTATTGTGACTTCAATTGTTATGCTACATGATATAATATGAGACAAAAAGGAAAATATTTATAGTTTGGTGTTGAATAAGGGGTTGCAAGAAATTAAGGATGATACACTCATCACAACAGGGTAGCTTACATGCATTTTATTAACAAAATAAATATCTCATTTGAAAAATGTATGTATCATTTCCTGTGCTAACGGGTGATTTTGTTTCAAATATGAAACAGGTTTGTTTTGCCTTACTTTGATGACGCGTAGGCTATCTTCAGCACAGTTTGCACAACTTCACATATTTTGTCTCTGAGAAATAGACATTTGACAGTAGCTTGAGTTGACATTAGTAGTAGTAGCTTGAGTTTGAATGCAGATGTACATTTATGTACATTAACAAGAACAGTAACATTTTTGTCAAAATTGTAACAACCTCATTTTATATGGTAAAAATGTTAATTGAGTTTATTAAAAATTAACCATTGGTCATTCATAGTAGCATACATTTAGATCATGATATCCACAGTTAAAAACCTCACATAAACATTGTCAAATGTTATTATATAGTTTCTATGGTAGTTGTATGAAAAACTTTACCCTAAATACATTTAGTATAAATGCTCAAAAGCTTACAATAAAAATACTGTAATCAAATTTCCATTACTTCTTTAATTCATTTAATACAACTCTACATTAATAATATAATACAATTAGATATGTGTATCCATGTCTGCCACAATGCCATGGTGCAGTTAGTGTTACTACAGTAAATCCATGGTAAATTATGGCGATTTGAAATTGAAAAGTCTTCTGACTGTATTGTTGGACGGTGTTTCTCCAGTTTGTCAGTGGCATTTCATAAGGCTTTAAACTAGTTTAAATCACAGAGATTGCTGTGGCCTTCGCTGAATTCAAGCGCTTCTAATGTGCATATTCATAGAACCGCGGTGTATACTAAATGGGTCAAGGGTGTAGAGTTACATTCAAGCTATTTTAAGGAATGGAGAAGTTTTTTTTCAAGGATCTTTTTTTTTTAAATATGTCATTTTGGTGATCGAAGTTGACTTTTAAGGGAAAAAAGCATTGACTACAGGGGAACTTTAAGATATGAGCACGCTAGGTTCAGTGCGAAGTCTTGTATTGCCACGGCCTACAATTCTGAGTGTTCTTCTTGCCTGTTTTTTTTTTTTTTTTACTTTGTTTGTATTACGTTTTCTCGACCATTTGCTGCCTGACCTTTGACCATTGCCTTGTTTTCTGGGTTATTGTCTGTTTGCTGACTGTCTGCCTGTTATGTTATATATATATTTACCACGAATCACGCCTGTTTGTATTCTGATTCTACCTCTGCCCAATAAACTGCACATGGGTCTTAATCCTTGCCCCTCAGTGTCATCGTTACAGAGGACTTCGCCAGCTACGGATTATGCAGTTGTCTTCTGAGGTGTCGGCTCAGGCAAAACTTATTAATCATGCATCAACGTTATCTGAGGAGCTGGTGAAGACTTTACAGGATCTTCGTCAGTTTGCATCAAGCCCTGCTCCGCCAACCTCTCAACCGTGCCAGGTACCCAATCTAACTTCTCAGAGTAATATCACTGCTAATCCCCGGCTAGCTTTTCCTGAAAAATTTGGATGGCACCCCAACTAAATGGAAAGGATTTCTAATGCAGTGTTCCATTGTGACGAACTGGAAGTAGTCACCAAAAATGGTGGTGATGTCCACAGGAGGGTGATGTTGTCATAGAGAGTTGTGAGTATAAAAACAGAGAAACAAAATTTAAAGGTAGTAGCTAGAGAGAGAAGGTACTCTCCACACCAATCTGAACATGCTATTTTCGTGTGATCTCGGAGATTAGCGAGGTGAAAAATGGATTAACACTGGAGGTCTAAACACAGTGATTGAGCCTGACTCAGATCGCTACGGATGTCAGTTCACTATGGATCAACGCGGGCAGCGAGACGAGAGATGACAACTAAACGGCTGATTTGAATCGAAATTCCCGGTTTACCATTACTGCTGAACTCTGGTGCCGACGGAACGTCAATCAAGTATTTCACTGTTTACTACTTTTCGAGAATCTTTGCTTGTTCCGTTGCTGAGGAACGTTCCGTTGAGGAACTTTGGAATTGAGTCACTGAATCGTTGAACAGTGAGATATCCTGAGTGTTGAATTGAGTCACTGAATCGTCGAACTGAGACATTGAATCGTTGAACGGAGACATTGAATCGTTGAACTGAATCATTGAATCGTTGAACTGAATCGTTGAACTGAGACATTGAATCGTTGAACTGAGACATTGAATCGTTGAACTGAGACATTGAATCGTCGAACAGAGACATTGAATCGTTGAACTGAGACATTGAATCATTAACAAAATTTTTGTACTCTTGCTGCTCAGAGTTTGTGGGTGGATGACACATTACAGCTCCTGTTTTGGAAAGGTTTAAATAATAAGGTCCAATCTGAATCAACCTGTCGTGAGAAGGAAAGAACACTGTCAATTCGGATTGCTAACTCGATGAATTGATTCAATATGACTCGCTCTATAAGGCTAAACCGACTCTTTCATCCATTCAAAGCAACTCGCCCTATCAATGAGCCTGAACCGATGCACGTTGGACGTACGCACCGATCCACTGAAGAACGAGAACGCCACATGAGAGAACATCTATGCACGACTCGACCGCCACAGCAGTATACTCCCAGGGTGAGTGCATTCGTTCTCCCCAGTTATTCTACCTGTATTGAAGTACAAGTAAAGATAACCTTTCCCACAAACACTTTGATTACCAAGGCCCTACTTGACTCTGGGGCAGTGGGCAGTTTTATTGATGAAGGCCTAGCCCGACAGTACGAGATACCACAAATCCCCCTTGACAGTGTTAAGATGAACAACCCCCTTGTTAGATGAACACCCACTTGGGACTGGTCATGTTTGAAGCACCACCACTAACATTTTCCTGCAAGTGGGAATCCTTCATATTGAAACCGCACATCTCTTTACCATCCATTCTCCTCACAATGCAGTTGTTCTCGGCCTACCCAGGCGACAGAAACACAATCCTCAGATTTCATGGCAGGAGAAACAAATCACACACTGGAGCTCTACCTATCTGTCCAATTGCTTAAATCCAGTCACACCTATGTCACTGAGAAGTGCTGCATTGAGTTTTACCTGCGTCTAGTGTCACTGAGTCACCAGACTCTCTCACCACCATGCAACGATCCCAATCACCTCAATTCTGAACATCAGCACACCCTCATCAGCTCCAGCATTTAAGCACACACCTCAGCTTAGTCGGTGTCTGACCTCAATTTGGACTAAGACTTTCTCCAGCGAATTCCAGTGAACGATCTCCGTTGAACTTACCTTTTATATCCTTTTGTTGTTCCTGAGTTCTGTTCACCAGTCGGATGCAGACATAGTGATGGGAAAAACTAAGCTTTTTTTAACCAATTGCTTCGCAAAATTATTCACGTTTGAAATTGCTCACACTGGTGATGCTTGCTGGTCAGAACTGTGTGAATGCAACAAAAACCAAACATGTATAAAAACACCTTTTACAAACACATTGCAAATGTTTCATTGAAAGTAAAATCTACCAAATGCAATAAACTAATCAAATAATAAGATTAAATATCAAGTGCCTGTGTAAAATGTGTTCTTTCATCACAGAGCTTGTTTTGTTTGTTCCATGGATGGTTCAGCTAACAAATCAATAAGAGACTATTAAATAGGGATGGGAGACCCGAGTGCTTCAAAACAGTTTTCCAGAAAATTGCTATCCATTTAGTGCAATATTATAATTATATCGGCCATGCCTATATATTCAGTGTAGCTTATTTTTAACGTGGTGTATTGCTGTTAAAGTACTACTATTAAACACTATTATGTGTTAATGTCTGTTGTCTGAATGTAAATCGCTTTTTCCAAGTCCTTCCTCAACCACAAACTTGTTTTGCTGCTTGTAAATACAATACAATACAATATTTATTTATAAAGCACATTTTAAAACAGCCAAGGCTGACCAAAGTGCTTTACAGAAAAGCATAAAACTAACAATAAAAATACCAATAAAGGAACACACAACAATAGATAAATAAGCATACGTAAATCAAGGAGTATTGAAAGCCAAAGAGAATAAATAAGTCTTTAAAGAAATGCTGTCCTCAGTTGTCAACAGCTCACATTGGTGTATTTAATTTCGAAATGTACCCCTTTCTCAAGTGTGGGAACACTTTAATCTCAACACTCCTAACGAAGTATCATGCCTGATATGCGACCAAACTTTGTTTTACTCTAATAAAACATTCTCAATACTTTGGCTTTAACACTCCAAACATCCTAATGCTCTGGCCAATGAGACTCCTACAACAGAGCACCAGTCTGCACCAAATGGAAAAGGTAAAATATACTAATAATGAAAGACATTTTCTTTTAGGACAATAAAGACTATCTACTCCCCACATGATGAAGTTAGTGATAAATTAATGAAATGAGTGATAAAGTAATTAAAATGCAAGAAACGTGTAGTTAAATTTTCTATTCTATTTTTTCATGTGGTGGGATGTAAGAACACAGAGTAACGCAAATATATAAACAAATCACATAGCCAAATTTTCAAAGCCATTTGCTAGAACAACCTTAGTTTAGCATATTAAGAAGGCAACCAATAGCCTTTCTTTAACACTGACCTTTATACACATAATTGTTACTTTTTTAATCACACTTTTTGTTTCAAATAGCATGTGTTCATGAAATTTGTGTCCTTTGCCCACCTCTGTATTTTAGTATAAAGTAGTTGGGTGGGTTGTTATATTAAATGGATGGTATACAAAAAGGCTATATGTGGATTTAAGGTCAACTCCAAACAAACACTTGAATTGTGTCTACATCTACACTATATTGTAACCATCTGAACTCCAATACGCTGATTTCACGCAGCCGCCATTTTGAAATGGAAAGCGAGGCTCCGGTGGGAAGAACCCCAGAAGTACAGATAGACAACAATGCTTGGACTACCAACCTGAAGCTGCTGCCGCAATTTACACTATTGGATGTTAATATCCAATATAGGATATGTATATAGTTCGTTCCTGCTTCTTTTTTTACGTTCTGAATTATATATATAAAAAAAAATTTATTTATAAATGAATTTCACTGTATATAGTCTAAAATATGAAAGAAATGTATGTACATTTTTAGAATAACTCATTTCTACATTAAACACAACAATACGCCATCGCATTCGCGACTCTCCTATGATTAAAGGCAACACTTCCGGTTTTCTTCCCACCGGAGCCATTTCAAAATGGCGGCTGCGTGAAATCAGCGTATGGGTGTGCAGATTTTGTATTACCAATCTACATTTGTTAAAAGATAACATTTTGTTACTTTTTACTGGTTACTTTAAATTAACTTTTTACTTTGAATTACTCTGCCAATATGAATGAATAGTAATTGTACTTTGTATTATTAGGAAAGAAGGAGCTTGATGAGGCCCTTGTCAACATGATTGCAGCCATTCTCTATCATGGAAGACGAGGTATTTAGAGCATTTGTGAAGAAGTTGGACCCCACCTGTTCTGCCAAGCCGGAAAACTGTTAAGACCACGGTCAGAGAGCAATACCAAGTGGAGAAGCAAAAGGCTATGGCACATCTACAGAACCTCCAATCTGTCTTCCTCGCAGCTGATATGTGGACCTCCCTCTCTATGAAGTCCTATCTAGGGGGTTACGTACATGTAAACGGCCCCTAAACGGCCACACATGTTAACAGCCCCTAAATTAATAACTTATGATTCTTACAGTGGAAATGAATCAACGCTGATCTTACTTTAAATGGACAATGACTTTCTTCTTGAGATGCTGTACAGCCAAAATAATCTTTGTTGCATTAATTTCCTGTTATTACTGTGAAGCTGTGAAGATTACAATCTGTATTGTAAAAATCGCTATATAAATAAAGGTGATTTGACATGTAACAATACTTACAGCAACACAGAACTGGGCTCAGTGATGCTGGGAGTATCAAAGTTCCTAAAATCACAGCTGACAACATCAAAGAGGCTGTCAGGAATTTAGAAGCTGGAATACGGCTGCTCTCAAATCGCTATCGGTGTACTTAATGCCATACGTCACAGTGACGTGACGTTGGCTCTGTCTCAAGTCGGACAACATTTCTAACCGAAATTTCTAAATTTATCATAAAATTGGTGCATTTCATCAAATCTGATAACAATTTAGAAAACGGTTAATAACCTGTAAATTTCATTCAGGTGATGTTTCACTATCTATGGAAATCACGCTTTCTTTCTCCGCACACACATACATACAGACACGCAACATTCATGCACACAACAACTTGTAGTGAGCGCTGCCCTGCGTCTTTATCAATAAAATAGTTTAAATTCTGCAAAACTACATCACAATTCGTACACGCTTAATCAATCTATCACACTCTTAATAACCGCATCAGTCCGCAAATCAGTAACTGTAAAATTATTTATTGTAATTAGAAACGGAGGCTTGTGTTGAGACACTTAAGAAACTATTACACACAAGAGTGTTTTAATGATAAAAACCTGACAAATGCACTTCAAATAAAGCACCTAAACAATGTATTGAGGTGAGATGACCAAGGAGGAATTAATGATAATGGGCCTTTGAAATATTAGAAAAATAACGTACACCTGAGGTGAAAAGAAGTGCTGTTGGATGTTTTTCAATGGATGCTTGTCATGGACATTTTGTGACGGATTGGTTTCATCTCGCGATCGTTTTTTAGTAACATGGGTCTGAAGTCCCATTTTTCCATGTTGTCATATGCACTCCTGACTCAATTTTTTTTTTTTTTTTTTTTTACATTTACTTTTGCTGGAGCATCTATATCATAAAACAGTCGCCCTAGATTGACAATAAATCCTTAGATCCTTCCAATGGTGTATAATTTATCATTATTAATCTTTTTAGACAGTATTCTATATATTAAGAGGTTAAGCATTAAACAATTATTAACTGAATTTGTTACAGAATTTTCTAGAGAATTATGAATGTTTGTCTGATGGGTGAATGTGCAGAACTTAGGCTGTATCTTTGCATGTGTAATTTTTACACCCTAATTTTTATGATCTGAAGTGAAAACATTTGTGTGTTTTTTTGTTTTGTTTTTCCAGGTTCATTTGGTGCTGTTACAGATAACATGTCGGTGCTTGTGATGGAGGGAGATTCAGTCACACTAAACACTGGTCTTAAAAAAAAACAACAAGACAGAATTAATTGGTATTATAATGACATTCGCATCGCTCAAATCAATGGAGATCCCAGTAAGACCTGTACAGATGTTCAGTGTAAAGGTGGTCCAGAGAGATTCAGAGACAGACTGAAGCTGGATCATCAGACTGGATCTCTGACCATCACAAACACCACAAACACAGACTCTGGAGTTTATCAACTACTGTTCACCAGAGGCAACATTGACAGTGAAAAGATCTTCAGTGTTACTGTTCGTGGTGAGTGTCATTTAACGAACGTTTAAATGCAGGCTTTATGTGTTAAATCACATAATATCACATTCATTTGTTTTTTAAAGCAACTGCTTTTTCACTTTATCATGTTTTATTAACAAAGTTTGGGAGGAAAACGTTCAAATGATCTATCTAACCAACACGTCTACCCAATCAGCATGAGAGGAGGCCTGTTTACATACATAGCCGACTCACTTATGTTCCTCCACAGTTTCCTAGCATCCCTCCACCACCCTGACTCCTCACTCTTGGCTGGTTCCTAGTCAGAGATACGGGAGTAGAGATCTACAAAGGGCTAAAAAATATTACCTAAACCCAGAGACGTGTAAATGTGCTACATGATGAAACTGACCCAGACCCTTCTATTTATAAAGCTGGACCCGGACCCATGCACAACCGAGAAATGCCTTAAATGTATACTACCCGGAACTGACCCATACCCGTCTATTAGGGGTGGAACGGTACATGTATTCGTACCGAACCGAAACGGTACGGGCGTCACGGTTCGGTGCCCGAATTTACACGGAGAATACACGGAATAAAAATAAATAAAACTCGCGTGGAAATTAATTAATGTAATGCGGAACTTACGCGGGTTCTTTAGGGACACATAATCTGTACCATCGGCTTTGCTCTGAACGCGCGTTCACTTCAAACGTTGGCTTATGCGCGTCCTATTCGCTTTGGACTAGCGTCGAACTAGACGCGATAGACGCGAATTTAACGCTCTATTCGCGTTTGGTGTGACCGCATAATGAACAGGCTGCGATGTCAAGATTGCAATGCTGGAGTGTGTGTGTGTGTGTGTGTGTGTGTGAGAGAGAGAGGCGCGGCCGCGATCGAACAGTGAAAACATAAAAAACATACTCCGTCATTTTGTTCATACAGATCATTAAACCTGGAAAGTGTTTACTTATATTTGTGTACACTCGCAATAAAACACAACATTGTGCTTTTGTCACACTGTAAAACTCTTGTCAAACTGTAACCTACAACTGTCACCCAACCAAAATCTCTCTCTCTCTCTCTCTCTCTCTCTCTCTCTCTCTCTCTCTCTCTCTCTCTCTCTCTCTCTCTCTCTCTCTCTCTCTCTCTCTCTCTCTCTCTCTCTCTCTCTCTCTCTCTCTCTCTCTCTCTCTCTCTCTCTCTCTCTCTCTCTCTCTCTCTCTCTCTCTCTCTCACACACACACACACACACACACACACACACACACACACACACACACACACACTGTTTTAAAAGCAAAACATATTTATCCAACTCCATTTCAAAACAGTCTGTGGGTCCCATCTTTTGGACAATCATCGCATTGGTTTTCATTTCTTGTCCTCGGAGCACTAATCTTAAACATTCTACATTGATTAAAAAAAAAAATCGAATGTTTTTAATGGTAGTATTATTTTATACAGAAATCAATTATTTATAATTCAGATGAGAATAATGTTACATTGTTAATTAATAATGTTAATTAAAATTAAGGAAAACAAATATATTGATCTGAAATATAGCAAATTAATTTTAAATTAATTCAGGTACAATTACCAAACATATCGCAAGGTCTTTTTGTCTTTTTATTAATTTAATTAATAAACGAATTATATAAAACTATTGTCAGTGCACTACAAATAAACTGGTTCTATGCCTTTATTAATAAAACTTATTTAAAAAATACAATGCCTTCTGCATTTTTGTTTTGCTTTTCCCTCCATTGTACCGAAATCGTACCGAACCGTGATGTCTGAACCGAGGTATGAACCGAACCGTGACTTCTGTGTACCGTTCCACCCCTACCGTCTATTATTTGAAAGCTCGACGTAACCCAGCCAGGAAGACACAGACCTGTCTGGACGCGATCAGCACATATTCCACAGTCAATAAACAAGCTGCAAACATAAAAACTTTTTGTCTTACCTAATGCCTTCTCCCTTATACCTGACTGTGATATTCAAACAATCATCCTTGCCAAGAGCTTGCTTAATCCACACATTATTCCAGCTACAACAGTCCAAATTGATGACATGGTGACGGATGACAGATGCGATTTTGCAGTTTTGTATTTTTTTGTAACTCGACTCGAGTCAAATCACATTCAAACTTCAATTGTTTGCCCTTTTGAACTATAATAATGATTGCTGGTGAAAATTGAAAAAAGTGCAAAGTGCAGTATGGCAGAATAAGTCCCGCCTTCTAAATAAAAGAGCCAATCGTTAATTCTTAGTCATTTTGTCACTGCAGACGTTTGCCTTGCCTGTTTTTGCTGAATTAAACTAGTAATAGATTGGGACCTGACCCGGAATTGGCTGACCATTTAAAGGTGTTGAGTTTTACCGTTTTTGAATCCATTCACCGATCTCCGGTTCTGGCGGTACCACTTTTAGCATAGCTTAGCATACATCATTGAAGTGGACAAGACCATTAGCATTTCAAAAAAAAAAAAAAAAATGACCAAAGTTTTTCGATATTTTTCCCATTTAAAGGTGCCTTGTGTAAAAAAATCAATTCAAAATCCACATATTCCATACCAGATGGGGGCAGTATACCTCCAGAAAGTTGGCCTACTCTAGTCTGTTTTTTAGTTTCGGGTTGTTAATCTTCTAAAACCGTCAAATCGTCCGCTTTGTCCCGCCAAAGCCTATTTTGATCGGTGAGTGATGTAGAATATAATGACTGCTGCGCTTGACAGGGCTTATAACGAGCAGAGAGAGAGAGAGAGCGCCCCGGCCGCGCGCGCGCACTCTCACGTCTTCAAACAACACGAGCGCAGTCCTCCTGCTCTCTCTCTCCCTCGCGCATATTAATCAAATCAATTGACACGATCGTAAGACCGCAGTTCATTTGGAGATTTTTAGAGATTAGAGACTCAATGAAAACATCTCAACACTAAATTATAAAGGCCGGCCTCATATAGACGCTATTGACAGGTTCAAGTACGCCCACAAGCCGTGCGAGTTATTCGTGTATTGGAGTTTGGCTGGTGGTTATGTATGTTGCCCGCATACCGCCTCCCATGGCCGAAACTGGTATTATGACACCGGCCGAGCCGGGGCTAGTAATTTAGCATGCTAATTCAGGTTTATATCTCTGCACCACTATAACTTGTCATTTTTTTAATGACATCATTGCATTTATTTCTTCTCATTCTTTTGATACGTGTAGCTCATTTGTTGGATATTTTTACCTCAATTTTTACATATGGCACCTTTAAAACTTGACCTTTCTGTAGTTACATCGTGCACTAAGACCGACGGAAAATGTTGCGATTTTCTAGGCTGATATGACTAGGAACTATACTCTCATTCCTGCGTAATAATCAAGAAACTTCACTGCCGTACCATGAGAGCAGCAGGCGTAATAATATGACGCAGCGCCTGAAAATAGTTCTGTTGTGTTGACGGAAGGTAGGCTAGCTATTTTCAAGCGCTGCGTCATATCATTACGCCTGCTGCTCTCATGGTACGGCAGTGAAGTTTCTTGATTATTACGCAGGAATGAGAGTATAGTTCCTAGTCATATCAGCCTAGAAAATCGCAACTTTACATTTTCCGTCGGTCTTAGTGCACGATGTAACTACAGAAGAGTCAATTAAGTTTTAAAAATATCGAAACACTTTGGTCATTTTTTTTTTTGAGAAATGCTAATGGTCTTGTCCACTTCAATGATGTATGCTAAGCTATGCTAAAAGTGGTACCGCCAGAACCGGAGATCGGCTGAATGGATTCAAAAACGGTAAAACTCAACAGTTTAACTCTGGGGGAGTTGTAAAATGAGCCTATTTCCAAAAAAAGTGGAGTATCCCTTTAAAATATAGACCTGCATAGATGGGGAGATTGGGCTATCATCTACAGTGAGTTTAAAGCTATTACATAGCCTATAGTTACTTAGTAACAGTAATTGGAGAGCTAATTAACACAATTTCAGTTTAATTTGTAAAAAATTATATTTTAAGTCTTTATCTCCAACAAACAAGCGATCAGAGCTGAAAAAGGCAGACATTACATTAGGCAAGGTGAGAATGTAAATATGGGTATTGTCACTTCAGAACAAGAATTAAAATTCTTTTAACAACTGTAAGAAAAAATTATGAGGACATTGAAAAAGTTTATTGCATCAGTGACAAAGTACACAAAGCACCTTGGCTTTGTCCGAGTCAGAATGATCCACTGCACGAACATCTAAATATCAACCCTTTTTGCTCCTGTTGTAATGGCTGTGTTCTGTTTGTTAATGAAGTTGAGACACATCATTGTCTGAGATGTTTCACAGGGTCCCTCGCCTGCTCCCATTCTAAAATTGATATGTAACCCTAACCCTAACCCAGAATGTGATCATCTCAAATGGTGCAGAATCCGTTCACTTTGTTCTTCTCTGTGATAATTATTGGCTTGTTCAGCCGTCTATCTTGGAGTGAAATCTGTGTTGAGGAAGTCTGTAATTTTTTACACAACTTTTCCCCCAGAACAGTCCCAAGTTTTATATGCATATTTCTCCCTAATTGGACAAATGACCAAATGTGCATGCTTGAAAAAGTAACTTTTTCAGAAAACAATATTTGCTTTACAGACTGAAATTCAAGAAAGAACATATTATGCACAAATATCTTCACAGTTTTTCTTGTTGTGGAGTTTCTTTTCCCCCAAAATATGCTTTAATCATCTGTGTTTCAGTTGTTTCTGCTGCTGAACGAGAGAAGATGAAGAAAAAGTCAGTGAAGCAGGGAGAATCTGTCACATTAGATCCTTTTGTAACAAAAAACCCAAATGATGTGATGATGTGGTATTTTGATGATACTCTCATCGCTGAAATCACTGGAGATCAGAGTAAGATCTGTACAGATGTTCAGTGTAATGAGAGATTCAGAGACAGACTGAAGCTGGATCATCAGACTGGATCTCTGAACATCACAAATACCAGAAACACAGACTCTGGACTTTATGAATTAAAGATCAACAGCATCAGCCGTCGTCGTCGTCGCAGCATCAGCAGTGTAAAGAGCTTTGACGTTACTGTCACTGGTGAGTGTAATTTAATCATTCAGGCGTTTGGCAGCGAAAACACTCTTACATTGAAATATAAAGAAAAATGGTATAGTTACATCTCTTTATTTTAGTTTCTCGATGACTTGTCACTGATGAAACAGTACTTTTGACATCACTGTATGAAACAAGTGTTCACCTTTAAACAGAATCAGATTTAGATTTACTCTCTCAGACCGTCTGATATCTCATTGTGTTATAGATCAAGCTGACAGATTCGCTCACACTAATGTCTGTTTCTCTTTAGCTGATCCAGAGTCAGGTCTGTCTTCAGGTTTCGCAGCAGTAACTGTTGCTGTTCTGCTGGTGTGTGTAGCTTCAGCTGTTGTTGTGATTTACTATCGCCACAGGAGCTCTAGAAAGTGTAAGCTTCACATACAGATACTATTGAGAGGGAAACATCATAATAATTGTGCAAAATTGATGTTTCATTACGTGTGTGATTGTTTTTTCAAAGCAGGCATGGAGGAAAAACAACCGAAAGCTTCTGTAGAAAGTCCCAACAAAGAGGTGAGATACTAAACTACAGTAGTTTGTCATTGTAGTAACTATGAAATTAATTACATCACATTCAGATCTGTTTTATTTCACCTGCACTGACTAAATCTTCCCATTAAGAACTAAACATTTCAAACAGAATCTAATTCAGTAATTGATGACAGATGTGCTGATTTCTGTAGCTGTTTCTTTTTCTCATTAACCTTCTGTGATTCATTGTTTTCTTACAGATGGAGATTTTCTTACAGACAAAGATAGAGGTCACGTGACACGAGAGGATCGTAACAGCTTCCGCAACATTATTCCTATTAAATAATAGTGAAATGAGCGGACATATGATGAAATGCTTTGCAGCCTCCTTTTTAATGATAAAGCATGTAATACCTGATAGTGGTGAAGGTGTGTATTCTGTAATCCACTGGTGTTTCAATGTATTTCTAGGATGTTATAATCAGCTTGATGCTGACTTCTGCCTGATGAAACTGCAAACTATCGTCAGTAAAACTTTTCTTCAATTGATTGAACTCTTGACTCCTGGTCTTCATTCATCATATCTGGTTCTGGGTTTTTAACTGTATTATCCCCTTACACTGGAAACAGATAATGTTAACTGTGTGACACTTATTTTCTAGCCGGGTGTTAATTTGTAATTGTATCATCTAAATGTCCTCTCATTATTTGTGTGATGAAAGTTACTGCAAGGATATTTCAGTTATTGTAAATAAATAAGCTTTTTGAACAGATATTTGATAAAAGTACTTATATTGTTATGCGCATCTTATAAACCTGATGTACATTTAATATTTTAGCAAAGTCTTTTACCTAGAGCAACAAATGTTAACAGAGTGTGTAACAAGGCAAGACACCCTTGCAAACAGTTTTTGTATTACAAGTTTTTTTAAATGTTGTTTAAATATGCAAAGTATGCGTTATGTACCAATCTAAACATTGGATGAAGTCCGGTTCAAAATGCCTTTTTAATTTTTTTTTTTTTTTTTGGATATCTCTATTGAACACTTCACAAATCAGAAATTACTATCATCATCCAAAAATAATAATTTTCATAATTTTGTTAGGAATAAAATGTTGAATAAAATCAGGAAAATTATATATAAACAAACCCATGTGAAACCTTCAGAATATAGATAGGAATAAAACTGTAAAGTTTGGTGTATGTACAGTAAGTGTTACTGAAGTGGATATTTCTGGCTCAATGTAGGAGGAAAAACTCATTTTAAGAAAACAGGCTTTAAAGATATATACTGTAATTGAAATCTACAGACGCAAATGAAGTGCTCTAAAAGATACAGTTAAAAGTGTATTTTGGATGTTTTTCCACTTGTCTGAAAAAACACTATGAAAAGCCCCAAATCTGACAAAAATGTACAGATGCATGAAAAAACTTTGTTTGCGTCTCACCTTCAGTGATAGTAAAATAACTTTGAAACAGAACATGTAAAGATTGTCAAATTAATCTTGTTAAAGTGCATGAATTAATTTTCTTCTTAAATTATTTATATTTAAATTACAAATAGGATTGGGCTTTCTTGCTAAATATATACAACAATATATACAAATTCAATCATAGAATCATGGCAAATGTTGCATCATTGGATTGTAGTTCATTTCTTCATAAAGACATTAAGTGCACAGTTTTAAACCTTTGTTTTTGTGCGTGTGTGTGTGTGTGTGTGTGTGTGTGTGTGTGTGTATTAATGTTTTTCTATCCAGGACCGGTTAGGTCCCCATGAGGAAACAAGCCATACATCATACATTATTGTTTTTGTACTATATTTCCTTCTAATGGACTTTTGTTATGATGTGTACATTTACACTGTTTTAAAAAAAAACTGAATATATGAAAAGGGGGTTTCTAATCAACCGACATTATTCATACAAGTAATAGTTTATTTTTATTATGACATCCCTTTAATTAAAATTGAGGCCTGCACATGATTTTACAGATGTAAAGCAGTTTGGTGGGTAGTTATCAGTATTCAGTAAAATTCTACAGTGATTTTTTTTGGTATGACACATATTTTTACATTTGCATTTGTGGGGTTGCTGTATATGAAACAAACTGAAAAAGCTAATTAAAAATAACTGAAAAAAACTAACAAAGGAATGTAAAACGGTAGGCATTAAATAATAGAATAATCCAGAATCTTCATCACCAGATGGCCCAATACACCAGATTCAGGTAATGAACCTGAATGAACTTTACGAACCAATTCAGAGAGCATTGTTAAGCAATGCTTTCACTAAAAAATGAGAAAAGTAGGGCAGCAGCTATGGTTTCCTCCAGCAGGGGGCTCAGGCAGTGGTAGGCTAGTCGATAGCAGGGCAGCAGTTTCTCGTTCTCTCCAGCAGGGGGCTTGGGCAGTGGGAGCCTGGTCGGCGTCAAGGCATCCACTGCTTATAATACTCAAGTACACCTGGCTGCAGCCTGCAGATCGGGGCGGGGGTGCACCCACACACACGCACTCCAGCAGACATGAATTCTGACTGCATGCCGATAGATGAGAGAGAGCGAGGAGTGTGGTGCTTAAAACATTAGCATACCTTTGAACGGACGAGTTTTATGGTATGTTCCGACAATGTTTTCTTTAGCCCGCTGCATTTTGTAGGATTATATTAGGTTTTTCACGCTAAGTTTTTATTATTTCATGCCAGAACACTAGCCTGCTATGCCAGCCCATGTAAACGGGCCAAACATACCCATAATTCTTTGCGTTCTGATGACGTTGCCGCCCAGTTGGTCACATGTCTTAGCGATCTCTATTACAACTTTGAGAAATGCGGAAGAGACTTTAAGTGATGGCTTGTTGAATGCAATGGTTCTGAAGGGCCTACCGGACTCTTTTAAGCTATTTTCCATCCACATAACCCAAAGTGATGAAACGATAACTTTCACGGAGTTCAAAACAAAGCTGAGGAGTTATGAGAGCACAGAAAAGTTTAGTGCTGCTCAGAGGATGACAGCGTGATGAAGGTGAAAGCAAGAGACGGGTGGAATATGAAATTGACCTGTTTCAACTGTGGACAGAAGGGACATAAGGCTGTGGAGTGCATTTCTACTACGAGTGAGCATAGAGAACAGCGACAGTGGTGTAATTTTTGTAAAAGTTCCACGCACAGGGATGTGAATTGCAAGTGGAGAAAGCGGGACAACTGAAGCAGGTGATGGATGAGGAGGACCACACCTTTGCTTTTAAGGTGGGCCAAGTGGATGCCGTCCTGGCCAGCGAGGTGAGGGAAAAAGGTCTCATGGTTGATACAGGAGCCACGTCGCATATCATCCGGGACATGACACAGTTCAAGGACTTTGATGAAAGTTTTGAGCCACATAAGCACATCTTAGAGCTGGCTGATGGAGAGAGGACCAGCGGTATCGCCTTGAGGAAAGGTACGGCCAAAGTTCGCCTGAGAGACAACAATGGTCAAGTGGTGGAAACGATGCTGATGGGGGCGTTGTACGTCCCATCTTTTCCACAGGACATCTTCTCAGTCAAGGCAGCGACGTCCCAGGGAGCGACGGTCATTTTCAAAGAAGGTCAGAACAGACTTGTTCATAAGAACGGTGTAACATTTGACATCCAGGTGTATGATAGACTGTTCTATTTAAGCACGGTTACAGATCTGATGTCGATCAATGTCATGTATGTTACGATATCCACACATGGCATGAAATTCTTGGTCACTGTAATTATGAGGATGTGTTGAAGCTGGAAAATGTTACAAAGGGGATGAAAATTAAAGGTAGAACTGAAATGTCTAATTTAAAATGTGAAGTGTGCATACAGGGAAAATTTGCTCAGAGCAGGAACAGGGAGGCAGATGAAAAAGCAAAAGTTCCCCTTGGACTTGTGCACACAGACTTAGCTGGACCTATGGAGCCGGTAGCAAAAGATGGTTTCAGATATATCTTGGCATTTACTGATGACTATTCAGGTGCAATCTTTACATATTTTTTGAGAGCAAAGAGTGATACAGTCAAAGGAACAGAGAAGTTCATCGCTGATGTTTCACCTTATGGTAAAATTAAATGTATGAGATCTGATAATGGCACCGAGTTTACATCCAGGGAATTTCAGTCCGTGATCAGTAAAAATGCAATTAGACACGAAACCTCAGCTCCCTATTCACCCCATCAGAATGGGACAGCTGAGAGGAGCTGGAGAACTTTGCTTGATATGGCAAGGTGTATGTTAATCGAGAGCAGCTTACCAAAAATGTTATGGACGTACGCAATCCAGACTGCAGCTGTTATTCGCAACAGATGTTATAACAGACGTGTAGAGCAGACCCCATACTATATGCTGACTGGAAAGAAGCCTGATCTTTCAAGAATGAGAATATTTGGGTCAGAGTGCTATGCATACAAACAGAACAAGAAAAAGTTAGACTCTCGATGTGAAAAAGGGATTTTCATTGGTTATGACAAGAATAGCCCTGCATATCTAGTTTTCTATCCAGACTCAGGAAAAGTGAACAAAAGTAGGTTGGTGGAGTTTATCACAAAGAGTGGGACAGAATGCCACACTCAGACAGATCAGTTAACGTGTGAAGATGATGTGCGTAGGGAGAGCGCCGAAACTCACCTACCAAAACCTGAGAAAATAGAATTAATAAATCCCCAGGACATAAGATCTGAAACGTGTGACCCAAACCCCAACACCGGTGAAAGGGAAAGTGTTGA